CACCATTCACTCATTGTAGAGCAATCCTTAAAAACTATTGTTATTTTTGTTTTTTATCATTTCGGTTTTGCATGCAACGTGGGTGACGGTAGGTACAGCTAGGTTGAAGAGTCTACCACACTATGCGCGCGTTTCTGTGTGCGCCCCAGAGTTGCACATATATAAAGCGAAAAGTGGGAAAAAACGGAGGAACTAAAAAGTGATATTTGCCCATGTGGATGACGAGTACTACTACTCCTCCTCACCCTTCCCACCCAAGATATTATTAAGTGCCCCACGTCGTGAAAGAGAGAAAACGTAAAGGCATATATGTTTTATACTATGCTCATGTTGGAGGGTTAACCTGTATATGTACACGAAATTTGGGTATACTTGAAGGAATACCATACAAATCCGGGTGCTTATTTAACTTATAAGATGCAATAATGTCTCATGTGAACGAACCTTTCCACAGTGACTAATCCTTTTTTCTCGTTATCCTTTTTTCCTTTCTGACGTGGAACCCTAATCTGAATCACAATCGTACATATGTACAACACACAGTGCTCTCTTTTCTTCTGTCCTTTAACAACTCTTACGCTTCTTTCCCAGTTTGTAATATGCCCACATGGGTGAACACTGAGGAAAAGTGCCTTCCTGGGGTGTCCTCAGAAGTCGTAATTACTAATACGGGGAAGGCGCGCAATGACCAAGTGCAGGTCTTCCCCCATTTTCTCATTCTACATTCATGCCCATATATAGGGGAATGGCTCCACGTTAATGTACAAGCGGTTGTGTTCGTGCCACATGTTATTCCTCCCCCCATCTGCATCATTGTAGCAGGATGGGGATAAAAAAAAAAACGTTTGCAGCACTGCGTGGCACTCCGTAGGGGTATAATTTGGGGTGGGTAGGCAACATTGCTCATCCGACTGCTATACATGAGCGTTAATCTTGGGACATGTAAAAAGGAGTAATACACCCCAACAGGGTAGACCCAACGCAAAACGCCTGTTTCATGTCCGACTGGGCATGCCCCTTTTTTTGCCGCTTTTGGGATCCTCCCCTTAAAAATGGGGCCCTGTGATATGTCTACACGGATTTGGGGCTGTTCGATATACGCCCCAATCCTACAATAAGATATTACTTCTTCGTAATTTTTTTAAATCTTCTCATTTGATCGGATAGATTAAAGCATACCTGCGCAGATATGTGCACATTACCCACAACGCAACGCGTAATGGCAAGGGACAATTACAACTAGGATGGAACAATGGTCAAAACATCATGCATTTTTTCCCAAAAAAAAAAAAAAAAAAAAATTAAAAATACAAAAAAGGGATTAAAAAAGATCACAAAATATTTTCTGGCGAAGGGAAAAGGAGAAGTGCGTTTTTGCGCCGGGTTAAAAGTGCGCATGATGCCACACTACAACATCGCCATGTACACACAATACAACGCGCACAAACAAACTGATCGAAGGGGACACTAAAAATCCACCGTCGTGCTGAATATCTGCTCCCCCAAATTGACATTGGACAATATTGGGAAGGGGGACGTTTCTTCAATGTCGTCAATTTCGGAGTAAACTAAAATTTTCCCACTAGGGTTGTTCGAATTGTTATATGTATAATTATTATATTTGTAGCATGCCTTATCCACATCCCTGCTACTGTTAGCGTAATTCGCCACTCTGGAGTAGCCTGAATAGTTCGCACCTCCAATGCTGCTCGGAGACAAGCTTTTGCTTAGGCTCTCCGTGGAGGTGCCTACGGTGTCGTTGGTCCCGTTCTGGGCTGTCTCATCTGTGTGTGGGAGAGGAGAGAAGAAAAAAAAAATAATGAGATAAAGCATAAGAACGGGGGGGGGGGCAAATAATAAGAGCTGTTAACATAGGATTTGCGTTGTATTGCATTGCACAAAAAATATAACGCGCTGAACACGCAACGTGGGATAACTTTTTTTTCCGTAGATAAAAATACTGGTGCTCTCTGCGAAGGAAAGCTTTTTGCTGTCTCGATTTTTTAAATGCCAATTGGGTGACAGATGGATGGGGGAGTATTCCTTCCGTTCGATATTTTTAAGTAAGCAATTTATCCTAGTGGAACCATTGGCATTATTTTTACTCTTCAATTTGTCTTCCTCATTTATGAAATTATTTGTTATATTGTAGTCAACCATTTTGGTTTGTGTTCCTGGAGGACACGAATTGGGCAGAATAATTTTTGGTATATTATACCCCAAGTTCAATTCGTCTACATTATTACCTTCAAGCTGTTCGTCATTTTTTACTTTCTCCCCCTGGTGCTTTGTAGACACATATTGTTTTTCTTCTTTGCAGTTGTCCACTGGAACAGTAGACAATAGTGTGCACTCCTTCGTGGGAGACTTATCTTCGTCATTCAATTCGGTTAATAAATTTATCTTGTTCAAAAAATGGACGTTGTGAATTTTTTTTTTTTTTTTTTTAACAGTGCAACATTTCATTTCGTTGTGTTTTTTAATTTGAGCAGAAATTTTGTTTAGCATTCTAGATATGCTATTATTTTTTGCTTTGCTTTTTATTTTATTATTTTTTTTTTCTTCAAGTGTGCCAATGATGTTTTTAAAAATATTCTTGTTTACATTATTTCCCATGTTTGAATACAATAATTCGATTTTTTTCTTTAAAATTTTTATGAGGGAAGACAATTTGAAGTACACAGCTTCGATTAGTATCCTCGTCAACACGTTGATGTCATTTTCGCATATCAGAACTCCGTCTCGCAGGAAGTCCAAAATGTACTCGAACCTGCTTCCTGCAAATGAGTGTACAGCGGAATGGAGCGGTACATAGCGTCCAGCGCGAATGAGCGGCGTATAGGTATTAAAACGTGCACACTTGTCCAATGGAACCATTCCATCAAACGCAGGCATGCATTTACATTATGAACCCACATGGGCTCACATAAACAAGAAGACACAGCAACAAAACGTAAAGGTGCTAATATAGGAATCGCAACGATGGTGTAGAGGTATACACCTTGTCGCTATTCCCCCCTCGTGCAATACAAACCATTTCGGTCGATGAATATTTCCTTCCTGTTCTGGTTGGCTACGCAAAAAAGGGGTGGGTCGTGAAAGAATTAAAAGCTGGGAAAAAAAAAAACACCAAATATGTTAGCCTGTTTAAACTTTTTGTGTATAGGGGGCGCTTACTGTCGAAGTCCGGCAAGGCCTTCAGTTTTTCTGCAAAGGGTCCAAAGGGTTAGAAGTACATGTAGCAAAGACAGCAGCAATATTTACCACTCAGGAAGAGAAAGAAGCAGAGTGCACTTTTACGTCATCCACTTGGTGATACAAGAACAACGTGAACAGTCTTTCTCCCTTTTAGACAAAATTTCCAAATCTACCTAAAACAATTTCACATAGACGAGAATTCCTGTATTTGCAAATCAAGTTGAGGGTCGTCATGTAAATCGTCCCTCCGACATTTATGCTTATGACGTTGTCTGCAGGGGGGGGGGGGTGAAGAATGAGGGAAAAAAGGAAAGAAAAAAACGATATGTTGGTAGGGTGTGATAACACAACAGAACAAAACACGTGTGTACATTAAATGGCGCATATTAGTATAGGCCGAATAAGGCACCTGGTTGGCTGACCAAGCGCAACTAAAGATAGGAGTGGGGGGGAAGACGTACCTCCGCTAGTGGAGTCCATCTTATAAAAAGAGTATGTACTTCCTTTCCCTTTTTGCCTTTCACAATGGGTCTATGTGTTCTTCCAAATGCTCATCTACGCATGGGCAATATGCACATGGGCCTTCCCAAGCAAATTTACAAAGCGGTTGAGGCTATTTGTATGTGCTCGAATGGCCTTCGTCCAGAGGCGAACTATGTGTACTGCGACAGTACAGCGGTTTGTACATATACTTGCACACATATGAGGGATTATGCACTCGCGACAACACCCCAGACTTTCCTTCCCACAATGCGTTCAAGCGGGGGAAAAATGGTTTTCTTAACTCATCGATCTTGTGTTCCTGAGTGAGAAGAAAGGAGAAGAGACGTGGGTCCAGGAAAATCACAGAGGGCACGGGCGCAAAATTGTGAAAATAATTCCATATGCAGTTCTACACTTTTTCTTTTTTTCTATTTCTTGAGATTTTTCAGTAACCCTTGGCCATCCCTTCACAAACCTTTTGTGACATTTCTTTGCTGTACCTGATTCCTGCCTACTTCGCTACACCTGGGCGCGATTGTCAACCATATGGGTACACCACCCGTTTGTGCTCTTTTTACTTATAGAATACTGGTGCGCAATTTTTTTCAGTCGAAAAAATTTCAAGGCACGGCGCAATTGCCTAATCGCGTTCCGTCATTTGCAAAACGCAGCGCTGCCCGCGAGCACTTCAAGTATGCATCCAAGTGTATATAACTACATGTATGTATATACATACATGTAGTTATATACACATGTGTATTTTTTTTTTTTTTTTTCCCCACCGCTGCAAAATCGGGGTTACACGCACCAGTGACGTGGCCTCTGGAATGACATGCGCAACGCGATGTACAAGTTTCCTAATTATGTACACACACCTTTCACACGGCCATCGCAGTTTATAAAAGTGACGCAGCAGAGTGGCCAAGTGACGATGCCGTAATGTGCGCATATAGCATGCCAAGATGGGATAACGCTGTACCTGTACTTTTATAACAATACGAACTTGTACATAGTATCGCTTGGAGAAGCGCTTTTCACGGCGGGGTTCGGGTTAAACGTATGTGTACGAGTAAACGCAGTTGGAATTTCCATCTCTTTCGCGACGCGGTTGAAGTGCCATATTTTTCCAACAGTGTAAAGGTAAATTTCCTTTTTTTTTTTTTTTTCCTCTTTTTTGTGATTTTTTTTTTTTTTTTTTTCCGTTTTACCCTTTTACATCATTTACACCTGTGATAGTGACAAATTTTTTGAAGGCGAAGTGGTTTTGAATTATTTTTTCCCACTTGACGACGTGGGTACCCCCCGTCTGTTCACTTCCGCTGTTTATTCGATCGTTCGAGTGTTCCTTTTGGTTAATAATTTTTTGAATAGCTAAATGGCCGTTTAGCCTGTTCCCCTTTTTAGCGTTGCGTGTTAGCGCTGTGTTTAGTGCTCTTTTTTTTTAACGTCATTTTTTTTATGTGTGTTTTTCTCCCTTTTTGCGCTTTGCTGGAAATACATGTAGAACAGTGCCGCGCGCAATTATTGTTTCCGTTGAGCGCTGCTTTCGCCATCCCCCCACAATCACATGCACCGTGGACATTTGGGCATAAAAAATCACATGTGTGTTTATATGTAGATATGGAGAGGGAGGAAAAGAAGAAAATGGACAAGCAGTCTTAATAATTCCTCCTTAAAATTGCGCGAAATAGGAAAATTGGCATTTCACTCCTTTTTTTTACATTATGTTTGTTTCATTTTATTGTGTTTTTTTTTTTTTTTTTCCCAAAGGGTGAAAAAAACCTGCCTGACATGGCTTCGCTGGAAGAAGCTATATGTAAAACACACATTACTACCTTCAGCAGTTTATAAGTATACAATAAGGTCGCATGGTCAGGGGAACTCCTTGTGGAAAAATGTCACTTTGCACATTTGCAAAGAGAACGGATTTGTCATTACAACCGACTTTTATCCTTTAATAACGCAAAATGTAAAGTGTTAAATGGGGAGAGGAAAAAAAAAAAAAGACCTCCATTTGTTTCCAACAATTTTTTTTTTGTTTTTTGTTTTTGTAATGCCATTTTTTCGACAAGGGCAAGTAAAAACTGGCATAAATTTCACATAACAAAAAAAAAAAAAAAAAAAAAAAAAAAGGAAGTTTTTTGTAAATCTCTCATTCATAAATTACACCTTTTAAGCATTGTTAAGCCAGGAACTCGTTTATTTTTTTTTTTTTTTTCGGAAGAGGATAATTTTACAGGGATATCATTTTTGAGCAGGATGCGGGAACCTTCTTTCATGTAAAAAAAAAAAATGTACAGAGAAAATATATAAAGGGGACAAAAAAAAAAAAAAAAAGGAATGAAAAAAAGAATATATATATTTTTTTCTTTATATATTACATTTGCTTATTTCTCAGTGATGTGCATATACAAACGCGAGTATATACATATAGCAGCATATTACATGCGCTCAAGGCGCGACCATTTGTGTGTGTAAAGAGCTCATAGTGACATGGCTCTGCAGTAAAAAAGCATGACATTAAGCTAATTGGCAATGCCAGGATTAACGTGTACTTTATGCACTGCCCATTTGATGTGATCACGGATCTGCAATAGGAAAATAAAAAAAAAATTAGGGAAACGACATTTACAACTATCTGTTCATTTCCATCTATTTTGTGTCATTGAAAAAGTTAAAAATGTATATTCGCAAAAGCGTGCATGTACAAAAAAAAAAAAAAAATATAACAATAAAAATATAATATCCCCTACACATGTATATAATTCACGCATGTCATTTTTTTGTTTGTACGCTTTTACCTGTTTTTCTATTTTTTTATGTAGAAAAACGAGAGCTTTTTGTAACATTGGCTAAATTGCCAATAATTTTTTCTTAAATGGAAATTCTACAAACTTGTTAAAACAAGGGGGGATCCACTGGGGAAAATAATAATAATAATTAATTCAAATTAAATTAAATTTAGTCAAAACAAGTACTGTCAAATTAAGCCAAGTCCAGTGAACCAATTTTGTTCTTCTGTGCACAGCGTCGTAAGCAACATTCTATATGGCGCCTAAAACCCTTGATGCGTAGAAGCAGCTAAGTCGTAGTTACGGTTATAATTGCCTTTCTGGGAGTTTGTGATTTTTTTTTTTTTTTTTTTTTTTTGTTGTGCGCCTGCAAAGGTAGGAAATTAAGCAAGGCGAAAAATAAAGCCTATCTATATGTTGTAGAAGGGTTCGTAGGATAGAACATATAGTGAGAGAAGCATATGATTATTATAGAAGCAGCCGACGGAGCCAATCTAAAGAAAAGGTAACTGCTCTTCATTATACGAAGTGTAGGTACGAGACAGCGCCATACATCCCCTTTTCAATACGTATGAACACAGCAACACGCATAGGGTAGGAGAAGTAGAAAACCTACTATATAGAATAGGAATGATCCGGAGGCACTAATACACAGTAGAGTGATATACAATCGCTCCACGGCCAAAATCGCCCATTCGGTTGTTTCAGCGTATGGGCTTATATACATATAGGCCCATCGGCACATACACGTAGCTGGAAGCTTCCGCACCGACAGAGTATCAGGCCAAAAAAAAAAGAAAAAAATGGATACCTCAGACTCCTCTACAGACACAAAAGTAACCATTATGTCGTACAATGTTCAAATGCTGTCCGTTCCTTTGAGCAATAAGTTAAATTTATCGACCAGACAAAATGCGGTAATTGATTACATATGCTTCCTGGATGATCTGTACGACATAGATATTCTTGTTCTAAACGAAGTGTTCACAAAGAATTGCTATGACGTGCTTACCAAGGGAAAAGTGAAGGATAAATTTCCGTACCATACTAATGTGATTGGGAGCAAGTGTGAGGAGTCTGGGAGGTGTAGCACCTCCATCGTGCAGGTCGAGAACGGCGCAAGGGCAGCCCCAGGGGACCTGAACAGGAAGTTCGTCATCACGAAGGTGGCACCCTCGGAAGTAGCCACATTAGGAGAAGCCACTCCAAGGGAACAGGAAACGTCGTCCCTTAACTCAAGTGACACAAACCATAACGACCAGGAGGAAGAGGATGAGACGCTAAACCTGGATTCCAGTGACACGGACAACAGGGAAGATTCGGGGTGCATTCTATCGTTCCACTGCGGGCTTGAAAGGGGAAAAAAGATAAAGGGAAAGCCAAACCATCACAATTTGGAGGCGGGGACGAATAGTAGGGGCGGGCATAACGACAAAGAAGCACAGTGCAGTGAAACGGATGACGAAATGGCCATCCAGGGGGAAGGGCAAAATGTGAACTTGAATAGTAGGGACGCCGTTGGCGCAGACAAACTGAGCGATAAGTCGCATACTCTGCAAAGCACCAAGGGGGACAGCAAGAAGGATGGTAAGTTGAGCATACAGGGTAGTTACCGAGCAGATGGAAATTTGCGCACACGGAGTAGTTACTGCACAGATGGTAATTTGAGCACAATAAGTAGTAACAACGCGGAAGGGGCTCTCACAAACGCCATTTGCGACATTACCAGCGATGCCAAAACGAGCATATCTAACAGTGTGAGGAATGGACAAAATGTAAAAGAGCAAAAGGGGGACGATAGGAACAAAAAAAAACAGCACAATGCAGCGAGCAGCTTCGATTCTGTATCAGGGAAGACAAAATTTTATCAAATCCTAAACGGAGGAGTCATCGTTTTTTCCAAACACCCCATTATGCAAAATCACGCATTAATATTTAGTGATTGTAAATTTCCAGATATGTTTTGCACAAAGGGTGCAATTTATTTAAAATGTTTTGTTCATAATAAACCAGTGAATGTGATAGCGACTCATTTGCAAGCAGGAGATACAAGTGATCAGCAGAATTGCAGATGGAAGCAATTGAATGAATTGAGCAACTGGGTATATAATGGAACACCAAGTTTTCATATAAGAAAAAATGAACCCCTTTTTTTTGTTGGTGATCTTAATATTAGGTATGATTTAGATAAATTATTTTTTGAAAAAGTACTGTCCAATGGTTGCTTAAACAGCTACGTGACGAAGAATGCACTCGAGACGACCTTCGATTCATACCTCAACGACTACTGCATGCATATGGAGCGTGATTACTCCTTTATATATAAGCACACGTTAGACTACATATTGGTAAGTAGCGACTCTGATGTGAAGACCCTCGTACCGCAGACAGCTATTCAAAAGGAATACAAGCCAATTAAGATTATAAAATCGTTCCTGGGCTTTATTCCTTACAAATGTATTCATATGCATCACCCTAGTGACCACTTCCCCATATATGCCACTTTCAAAATTCCGAATTAGTGGTGAGGCAATTCACAGGTGCACCTTCCCTCCACACAAGAGCATACACACATGCACTGTCCGCCCCAGGGTGTACCGATCTAATCGTTTGCCCCCAAGGGAAAATTGTACCATTTGTCTTTCGCGCGTCGTATTGTGCACACGGCGCGCATCTCATGTCTGGCATGCATCCACTTCATTTAATAAGAGCTTTGCTCTCGTTTGACAGTCTAATTAGTTCTACGGCAACGTCCCCTTATTATTTGATGATTTTCCCCCCTGTTGTTTTGTTACACGTGGTGCAACTGGCCCCATTTTGTGTCCATCCATCCGACTCTATTCCATTCTATTCGTTTCTATTCGATTCGATTGTTTGCTTTTTTTTTTTTTTTTTTTGTCATTTCTCAACACGTACGGATTACAACCCCTTTTAATACTACCACCAAGTAAAACGATTTACCTTTTTCGCTTCGCTGCAAGAAAAAAAAACCGGAGCCAAGTCCGCAATTTTTTGAAACATCACAGGAGAAATTAGGACAAAGGCTGAACTGGAGGGGTGCCTTAACAAATTTAACATTAAAACGAGTTGGTCACACGTGGGTTAACTTCAGCAGGGGGGTACAAGACGTACGGCTCCTGTGTAATCCTCCTTATTTCAAAATAGGTGTCGCAACAATGACGCGGCTGTTTTGGAAAAATATTTCTTTATAATGCGCCAAGGGGAAAAACGTAAAAAAAAAAAAAAAAAAAAAAAAAGTGCACGCGCAGATTGGATACCACAAATTGTCTTCCCCTTTTTTGTTCCCTTCACAAATTGCCTTTTTGGTGGAAAAATTCGAGCAGCCTGATAATGTAGAGGAAGCGCAGTCCTTGGTTGAACTCCGCGGGGGCCTTCATCTTTTTCGTGTTGCTGCGGGGGGGAAGAAGGGGGGGGGCGGTAAATTGAGTGGGACGTGGGGCAAGCAAAACATAAACGAGGAAAGGGAAATAGAAACGGGTGCAAACATCCGGCGCGGGAGAAGCGATTCTGCTTGACTCACTTGAAGAAGGACTCCAGCAGGAATAGCACGTTAATGATGATGTCCGTGCGGTTGGCCGCGGACTCAATCTCGTGGTGAAGAAGCTGCTGCTTGTCCACGTGGGGCAAGCTGAGGAACGAAATCTCGGGGATGTTCTCATCGGAATTCCTCGTCTTGAAAAAATCACGAAGGGTGTTTACAAAGACATAAGACAAGTGAACAATGGCTTGGAAGCTACTTCCATTGGGGAAGACAAAGCTGTTAATAAGAATGTCATAAGTGATACAATTTTTATTTTGTAAAACATCTGTTGAAGAAGAATCCGGGTTGCTACTCCTGTTACTTTTTATAACCATTAAAAATTTTCCATAAGAAGTAAAAAATGGTACAATAAAATACGATTCGTCTAGTAAGGAGGAAGAAAGGTGATCAACAAAGAGTTGGTGAATTTTATTCTCTTTAATAATCCTGTGGCATGTTTCTTTTAATTTTAAAAAATCCACATGCCTCACAATTTGAACGTTGCAACAGTATACGCAGGGGAACTTAGCCAAATAACTATTATTCAATTCGCTTTGAAAAACGAATTTTTTTTTAAGTACATTAGAATAATTGTAATTCAAACAAGCGATGAACATGTTTACACATGGCACAGTGGGTACTGAGTTGCTATATAAGCTTTGAATGTGAAATAAGACTTGCTTCTTAATTTTAAATTGGCGAAAAAATAAGCTGCAGTAGGGAGGAATATCTTTGTCCAGCTCGATGTAGTATGAAATGTGTGCTAATTTGTCTTGCACATTTTGTTCATTGAATATTTCTTTAATCGATTGAAATAAGATGTGGTAATTTTTTAGTGGGACATAGGAAATGTATTTTTTTTTTTTTTTTTTTTCTCCATTTGTTTTCTTTTCGGAATCTTCACTTGAGAACGCCTTCCTCAGGAAGAAGCTATTTATCACGTTGTCGCCGCCGTAACCGCTGTCACTCCCCAGGTGGTAGTCGTTGAAGCGGTTTGCCCCTACACCGCTCTCCTTCTTTCTTCTCGCCGTTGAGATATTATTTTCGTTTAAATAATTTTCAATCCCCGAATTGATAAAAACAAATTGACTCATATCTTTCAGCTCCCTTTTCAATTCTTTAATTTCCTTTACGATGGAAAATATAATCGCCAGGAAAATTCTATACGCCCTTCTCAATTTGTCACATTTGAATAGCGCTATTTTTTGTTCCCACTCGTTGGTGTACTTTTCTTTAAACTTTTTGTACTTTACCAAGTTACTTAATTTTTTCACCTTGCTGAGGAACAGGTCTTTCTCCTGCGCGTGATTTTCCACAGTGCATTTTTTGTCACACCGCAGTAGGTTCCGCAGGTACTCCGCGTACCAGCCCCTGTCCTGGTTGCCTCTGTTAGACTTGAGGAAGTGCACGATGTGATCGTCGTCCGATGCGGCGTCCGCTTGGTTACACTCTTCCTCCTCTTCTTCTACTTCTTCTTCATCTTCGTCTTGATCGTACTCATCTTCCCCTGCTTCATCATCTTCCTCCTCGTCGTTGTCCAGTTCATCGGAGTCGTCTTCCTCATCATCCTCATCATCATCATCCGCACTCGAAATGGAGTGGTCATCCTCTGGGGTGTTCGCATTGTCCGCCTTCTCCGATTGGCTCACTTGATCGTTGAGTTCCACATTTTGCGCCTCCTCTGTACGCTGTTTTTTTTGAGGAGGTTCCAGGGAGCCATTTTCCTCCTTTTGGTCCTCCTTGGATGAGATTTTCTCATTTGCAGCGTCTTCCCCATTGACACACTCACCAGCACTTTCCCTTTCCGCGCCATCATGCTCACTCGTACGTTCGTCGAGCTCATCTATAGGGTCCACCAACTGTTCTCCCTGGCACCCTACAACATCATTGCCTTTGCCCTCACCTGCTATGGAAATCAATCCAGTTCCGCTTTGCTCGCTGATCTCTGCCTCTCCATTAGGGTTACTACTCCCCGAATGCAGCCCTTCCGTTGCACCTCCCTCATTCTGCATCTGTCCTGGGGAAACTCCACTCTCTGCATTGTCCACTAATTTGTTCTCATTCTCAATTTGGGATTTATTGGGTTCATCGCTCTCCATCAAACTTTTTGAAAATACTTCTGCTCCGCTGTTTTCTTCTGTGAACGTTTCCAACTCGTTTTTACCATCATCGTTGACTTTGTCTTTAATTGTATTTTCCTCCATTTCGTTACATTCGAGTGGACCCTGTTCATGCGGTTCGCCCCCAAGTGCCGCGTCCACTTCTTCACCATCGTGATTCTCCGTTTTGTTCACTTGACTCATTTCTGTCTCTGGGGGGCACAATAAAATTTCTTGTTGGGACTTCTCCTCCGTCGCTGCTCCGCCATCCTCGCCTTCACATAGGTGATGGTAATTCTCCTTTCCGTCATTCTGTTCAATGTTCTTTTCCTCCATCATGTCGGGGTTGTTCGGTAGGTCCTGCTCAGTTTTGTCTTCATTGAGGGGTTCCACTTGCGCATCTTCCTCTTTCTCCCCAGCAGTGTCTTCTACTTGTGACAATTCATCATTCGCCTCCTCACTGTTACTCTGCTCCTCTTCTGCAGACGACTGCGAGAGGGAGGAGCTTGCCGAGCTTTGTTTTCCAGAATGCTCGGTAATAGGGGCCATGTTGCTTGGCTCCTTAACAGTAGGGCAGCCCTGTTCTAGGTGGCTGTCAACCGATTGTTTTGCCTCCTCTTCGTCACAACTGGATTGGTCACTTTTGTCTGCTTCCCCCTCTGCGTTGCTTCCTACGCGAAGAGTGCCGTTTTCTGTTTTTCCAATTTCAAGGTGATTAGTTTCTGCGATCTCCTCATTGATCTCCAATTTGGGTAGGCTCTGTTCAGCAGGAAGTGTAGTTCCTTTTGGATGCTCATTCGCCTGCCCATATTTAAATAAATTCGCGAAGAAATTCTTTATGTTATATCCCTTTTGCGCATGTTCATTTGTGTTAACAAGGTTGGAAGTTTGCTGATTGGGGTAGCTGCGGACGGATGGCATTTCCCCCTTCAGTTGAGGGTCTCCCTTGGCAAGGCTGTACGAGTTGTTCTTGTGGAGAAACCCAAGAAAAGGATACACCTCGGACTTCATCGAAAGGGAATTTTTCAAAATGTGTAGACTACCGGTTCTTGAATCATCATATGTTCCTGACTTAGTGTAATCACTTTGGTTGTAAAGTACAAGAGTGCTTTTCCTTCCCAGGCTTTTTTTGCTCAATTCAGTGCTGCTCTGTGCGTGAATAATTTCGCTCGGAGCATAATCACTTGGGGAGTATTTCTCCTTGGAGGGCTCACTCCTGCTATACTCGCTAATTTCCGTCATGTCGCAAAACAAATCTGGGATTTTACAAAACTCATGGAATATTTTTTTATTACATTCATTCATAGAGATGAAGAGCAATTCTTCGTGTGACTTTTCCTTCTTAAGTTCCTTTAATTTATTTTTAATCTTTTCTACCTTATCGGAATTAATTTTCCTTGTATGCGTTATCCTTGTACTTTTCCCACTGGGACAGGTCTGATTGAAGGCCCAACAGTTGCATCCATTATCTACGTCATTTACAAAACAGCAGTAGCAGTTTTCTACAAATGACGCAATTTGCTCATATATTAAAATGTCCTTCTCCATATGTCCACCCCTCCCCTTGATGGTCTTTCCATTCCCCAAATAATTTAACACGTTTATTATATCGACAAAGTAATAAAAGTTTTTTAAGTTTGTAAAGAATATTGCATTGAATATAAAAAAGAAGCCACACTTGTCATTTACAATGGAGGAGAAAATGTCACTTAGACTTTTGTTGTATTTTTCATTGTCCTGAAAATTGTACTTTTGAGCGGTGCCATTTTGAGCGGTGCCATTATGTTTGATACCATTTTGGACGCCGCCATTTTCTGCGCCCCCCACGGGAGGGAGACCCATGTCGCCACTACCATCATCCGTCGTGTAAAACTGGTAAATACAAAGTAGCGATTTTAATATTTCCAAATGATGGAACGTCGTCGACTGATTTTTTCTTTCTGTCTGTCCCGCTTCTGCATTGTGTTCATTTGAAGTGTCAGCGAATTTCCTTTTTTTTGTTTTAACATTTTTGTGTTCATGTGTGTAGCGCTGGGCTTCGCCTCTCTTCTTGTTCATCATGCTGATGATTGGACGCTTCCCCTTCTGCTCGCGATGGTCACCCCTTTGAATGCTCATCTTAAACATGTTAAACTGTGTGTATAGGCTATTTATTTTATTGTATAGCCAGACCTTTCCGTATGTGTACTTTTCCAAGTTTCCCTTTTTGTTTTTTTGCGTTACGAGAAAATTTGTCTCCATCGGATTGGCTTCATTTTGCCGGCGTCCTTTGCACTGGACGGCCTCATTCGCCTTTAGTTTTTTTTTTGAGGGGAACGGGCTTCCTCTCGCCATGTTTATTTTTGCGCTGCACACCTGGGCGATTCCGCCAAGTCAGCCCACACAGGGGCCGATTAGCGATTATCAATTAGCGGTTAGTGGCTACGTTATTGCAGCTACATACGTGCCGCTGCCCATTTGCCTCTTCGTAGCTGCGCTTTTTTGTGGACCACACGTCTGAGTCTCTGGACACGTGGAATGTGGCATGCTTAGAGCGGAGGGGATGGAAGGGCCCTCCCAGCTACCTTCAAGGGAACCTTCCTGCCCCACGCGAGCGCGCAGTTTTTGTCTCGCGGAGGCCCCTCTGCCAATTTTGCGCACAAAAAGGAGTGTGCCAGAAGAAGGCGCGAATGCGCGAGGGCATGAAAATGTGCATGCTTAGCGGCACGAACAAGGGTTACAAAACTGCGCGGTGGGAAAGCTACCCATTGACAAAACTGCTATTTGATAAAATCGCCAGTTGCAAAATTGCAATGCTTGAAAGGAGCCATTCAAGCGGATGGAACCACATGGCACAAAACGTGTGCAGGGTGAAAGTTGACCCAATTTGTTAGCAACATGAATTTTTTTTTTATTATTAATTTTTTTTTTTTTTTTTTTTTTTTTTTTTTTTTTTTTTTTTTTTTTTTTTTTTTGTTCGCTTTGATTTTCCGCGTGTGCTCTTCCCAAGGGTCACATATCCGTGTTGTACCACAACTGTGGTATTATTCTTACAGCATACCGCTCTACTCTTTAAGGGAAAATATAAAACGAATTGGTAACAAAAAAAACAAAAATTGAGATTTATCCCCAATCGTGATTTTCTTTGCCATTTTCTGCATTCCGTTGGGACGGCTTTCTGTGGTTTTTCCCATAGTGCATGCACTACAGGTGTGTACGCACATACCAGCGTGCTGTTAAGCAACCCGTGGGAAATAAGCAGGAGTGACAAATGAAATTTTTGTTTTAACCGTCACCACTGCGAGGACATGTCCACACACAAGGGTTTATGTTTACATGCCAAACTACGCACACATGTGTGTATGCTAGTAGTAACAATTTGTAAGCCGCTACTTGCCGCTTCAGCGTAAAAAAAAAAAAAAAAAAAAAAAAAAAAAAAGACGACTGCTTCGCTTGACCCTCGCAAGATTCCCTTTGAATGTATAAGACCCCCCCTCACAGAAACAACAATATAGTTGCTCTTGTTTTATATCCTCCCGAAAATGAAGTTAAACGCTGCAGAGAAAAAAACCCTTTTAGAAAATCTCACAAATAGGATGATCAAAATAGAACAAGCTATAGGTAGCATAAAATTTTATGAAAAAGGAAGCGACGCAAAAAGGCTTCGTAAAGATGGGACATCATTTGGTAGTGGCGTAAAAACAGTCGAAGGTAGTAGAGAGAACAACAATATTAATAAACCTATTGTTAGTTTTGATGATGACCGTCATGACCACCATGACCACTATGGTGATGATGAGGAACAGCAAGCTGAACAAAGCAGAGAAGACGAAGAGGACTACAATGAAATAAGGTCCCGTCTGGAAAATGTGTCGACGGGTTAGAATACCTGTGCCAATACTCAAGTGTAGTCATAAGAAAATCTCATTATGTTGCACACGCGTAACGCCGCGTTAATGTTATATATAATTTTTTTTTTTCTCCCAACCCGAAGATCTCCTGGGTACGCACAAAGAGGAGGTTGTGGAACTGATTAAGAAGCACGGGCACAAGAACAGCATAGCTGTTCACATTTGCACCATCAAGTTGATTCTGCAGCAGATCGCAAAGGAGTTCTTCCATGACATCTATGCCCAATGTAATGCTTAAAAGGGGGCAAAAAAAAAAAAAAAAAGGGAAGCAATGGGGATTACACCCTCGTGCCTCTTTTGCGTCTTTCGCACCATTCATGCATTCCTTGCAGGTGGAAAATACATTTTCCCCACATTGATTTTTACACTGTGGAGAATCTTCCTACGAATTGGCCTTCACCTAACCGTACCCCACTTCCTCTCCTGCCCCCTCCTCAGACAACGACTTCTACATCTACATCCACAGCAACAGTATCCTTGACGTGTACAATACTTTTGAGTACAAGCGGAACATCATTTTGTCTCACCTGGACTTCATGAAAACTTACAGCCAGCAAGTTCAAAAAATTATGCAGCTAAAGGAGCACATAAACAGCTACAAAATATCGGGTAAGAGTGTGCCTGTGTGTCTACCTGCCGTCTGTTTGTCTGCCTGTGGTGGATCCGCCTCCGCCCCGCGCGTGGCCAACGTTGCCAACCCAGTTGTGCCATCCTTATGATCATTTTGTTTTGTTTATATGTTATTTTCTTTTTTTTCGACCCCGATTGACGCCCCCAGAAGCGGAGGTACACCTGGAGAGATTGCACAAAATTGAACAAAAGAACGAAGCCCTATTTTCGCGAATTTCCGCAGTGAATGCCGCCCTGGAGGACGTGGCGTATAAATACGCCCTAATGGTAGGTGAATGGAGTTAAAATGAAAAAAAAAACATTTCTCCAATTCCTTCTCCGTCCGATCTAGGCGAGAGGGTGAACATAAAAAGGTAGGCACGAATGCGCCCCCTCTCACTCTATATATATATATATATATATATATATAACACACGACTCACACACCCACTGCGGGTACTCCTTCACGCAGATGCAGGCGGCGTCCCTAATAGTCTCCAGACACAAGCCAAATGTATCTTAAGGTGACAAAAAATTGGTGAAAAAGTTGTTGCGGGAAAAAAACTAAAAACGCGTCGTGCGCAAAGACAATTGGCCAAAGGGGGGCTCAGCTAAGCTTTTGCGCCACGTGGAGGATCAAAAAGGGGTAGCGCCCTGTTGGAGCAGTTGCGATGAATGAACTGCTCATCATGCAGCTACGAGGAGCGCACCGCTTCGCTACGAATCCGCTCATCCCTGGAGCAACTTGCGCATCGATGCGGTGAGGGCGCCCAAACCAATGGCAGTGAAGAAATTTACGCAAAAGCGCATATCCTGCGCATTGTCGGTCGGGAATAACCCACTCATAAAGGGCGCAATCGCGGGGTGATTAATTTTGTGATAAAATGCCTGCATGCCTAAATTGTTTGTCAACTCCTGCAGTAAAATTTTGAGGAAAATTCTCGTGGACGATGTAGTGTCTTCCTCAGAAAGTTTTATGTTGAGGAAAATGCTCCAGGACACAGCATCCGTGTATAACAAATGAGCAAATAATTTTGCACAGTTCCTCAATTTTGCTGTCTCCAATCTATGAGCAGTATTATAAGAATTCTGAAAACACTTTTCGAAATTTTCCTGGTATATACTTTTCAGCTTACATAGCCTTTCTGCCTGAAGGGCATAGAATTTTTGGAACGTTTTTTCCATGCAACAGCAGTCGATAAGCATATTGCAAATTTCTATTTCGTATCCTTTTTTTATGTTTAGTTTTAATAACTTGTGAACACATTCTTCAAAGCTAAGAGAGGACATGATGGAGAGGTAGACATTTTTCCTCAAATTGATGAGGTACTGTTCTGTCATGTCGGTTATTTCTTCTTTGTCCTCATCCTCCCCATCATCGGCCTCATTTGTACCGCCACTTTTTCCATCCGTGCTATCACTGTTGGAGTGCGCCCCGCCTTGGTCATTTTCCGAGTCCGTGCTACTTTCATCGCTACCCTCGCTGCCACTATCGCTTCTTTCACTTTTATCACTTTCGTCGCTTCCGCTCCCTACACTCCTTGCACTCTTTCCTTTCCTTCCCCCGCCAGAGGCATCACCGTGTAGCAACTCATTGGCAATATTGTCCCACTCGATATTTTCCTCCTCGTACTGCTCATGAGGCACTTCCCTAAAGATGTTCAGCTCCTCCTGAGTATCAAATGTCTCATCCAGAAGGTCAATTTCGTGTACAATTTTCTCCTCTTCATCAATGAGATCTAGATCCTCAAGGACGGTAGGAAACTCACGAAAATAATTCTTCCTATAAGTCCACAGCTTTTCAATATCATATTGAGTTTTTATATTAATTTTTCCCTCTTGTATAATATCCTTGAGTCGATCGAAAATGATATCAATTCCTTTGCGACATATATTCATATATAGCTGACCAACCTCTGCTAGAAAAAAAGTACACACTTGTACAGAGTCGTTTGTTATGTTTTGCAAAAGCAAAGAGCATAACTGAAGACCCACGATTTCATGAATAACTCTTTGGTTAATCATATGTGCAATAAATTTTACACTATTGAGACAAACAATTTTGTCGTTTCTTTTGTAGGACCTTCTAAAATGTAAAATGATACGCTGTATAGTCAGTAACCCTATGGTTGGAAATTTTGAATTAATGATGCATAACAGAGCTGCAAAGACATGAGTAAATGCTGGGGAGCTTAGTTGTGCATGGATCAGTGCACGACTGAATATGCCTTTCCCTCGGATCAAATTACATTCAAATAATTCGTAACATACATCTCCTATATTATCTACATTGACCTTATTCACTATGTTATTAATTTTTTTTTTTAATTTCATCCATTCTTGCTTTTGGTAGAGGGCGCTTTTCTTGTTCGTTACTTCCTTCTTCAGCCTCTCTAACTTGAAGGGCGGTATGTACACTCCTCCTGCCCTTCCTATATCCTCCGTCGTCACGTTCGCAATTTTCTGCTTTGCGTATTCGATTAAGTCTTCGTTAATTTCGAGGTTTCCGTTATCATCCTCCGCGAACGGGTCGTAGGAATCCAACGGGGGCTGCGAGTGGTTGCCCATCTCCGCTGGGCGGGGCTTTCTGCGACCGGCTTTGGCCCCCTTTTTCCGTTTCCTCCCTTCATCGGAGCTGCTCACCGAGCTGCCATCGGTACGGCTGCTACCGCTGCTGGCACTGCTAGCACTACTGCTGCTCTTCACCCTGGTGCCTTTCCCTCTCTTCCTTTTTCTCCTGTCCGAGGAGCCTCCGCTGCTGCTTGTCCCATCCCCGGAGTCACGGCTCCGCAACGCTTCATCTGAGTGAGTTGATGCACCGCGTTTTCTACGCCGTGGAGACGAATCCTGCCTTCCCCGTCCCCGTAGGCTTCCCGAGCTGGATGATTCCGACCGCTCATGCCTTCTTCTTTTCCCCTTCTTGGGCTCTTTATCATCGTGTCTTTCCTTTCTCGCATGCGACATGTGGTCCTTCCCATCCTTTTTTTTATTCCTCCCTGAGTCATTACTTTCGCTACGATTGGACAGTTGTCTGCTTTCGACAGTGTCCCCCGAGCTGGCGGACGCGCTGCTCCTATTTTCTCGCTTATCGCTTCGCCTCTCATTAGGTCGAATTCGTTTTTTCACCTCCGACCTTCCGCTGGCATTGCTACCGCTGCTGCCACTACTGCTGTTGCTACGATGTCGCTTCCTTTTCCTATTCTCGTTTTTCACTTTTTTTTTGTCCAGTTCCTTCCTCTCGTGTCCCTCATGACTTGATGTGTTTTTATCCTTTGCTCGCATGCCCCTTTTGCCTCCTTTAGCGTCTTCCCTATGTTGTCTCCTTTTCTTCTCATGGGGCTCCCGTTTATCAGGATCCCCTGACGAAGCACTGCTCGACTTATTTCTCCCCTTAATTTTGTCCTTCTTCGTCTCACTCATCTTGTCTCTGATGTCTCCTCTTGCACTGCGGACACTGCTGGCTTGTGAGTCGGCTTCATCGGTTTCATCCGCTTCTTCCCTTTTGTGGCGATTCCCTCCCCTTTTTTCTCTCACACAATTGGCACTTCGCTTCTCCTGACTTCTTCCTCTACGGCCGCTTCCACTACTAACAGAAGCGGAGCGAGCGCTCAAACTGGGGGTGCTGGGGCTTCTCCTTTGGGACGCCTTGTCCTCTGAATCAACGCTACTGTATTCCCCCCCACTACTGGAGTGGTCCATTTTTGCCTTCTTCCTCCCTCTCATTCTTGCTTCCGAACTGGACTTCCCTCTTCTTGGGGAGGACGCAGCACTGCTACTAGTGTAATGTTCATACGAACGGTGTGGAGATTTTTTTTTTTGAGTTATCCTTCTGCTTTTGACTCGTTTAGTTTTGTTATGTGATGTGGCACTTTTCCTCTCCCCTTCTTCCGATTCATCAGAGGAAGACCTACTTTCTACGCCTCCCCTTTTTGTCCTTTCCCCTTTACTTCTATCATCATCACTAGAAGTAAATGAGGATTTTCCTCTCCGTTGTTTTGCCCCTTTTGTTCTGCTGTGCTCTTCCCCGCTACTATCACTTCCCTGCCTGTTTTTCCTGGAATCCTCCTTAGGCATTTTTTTGGGGCCTATTTCACTTCAAAATTGCTAAGTACTGTTGTATGTTTTAACTTCCTGCAAGTTTGCTTTCCCCAATTTGGGATCAACAAAGCTTTTCTTTTATTTTCATTCCTACCCACAGCTTCTCCCCTGCGTGGGGAAAACGGAGCAGTGAATCGAGTACTGTCACGGAGGACACGCAGGTTCATGTTTTTTTCTTTCCTTCCGTTGGGGGAAAAAAAAAAACACTTCCTCAATAGCTCTACTCGATCGGCATGTACTAATAAAATGGGAAAACTACTCCTCACGAAGGTGCGCGTCAAATGAGCGACAAATTATTGGATTCTGCCCCCCTCCTCTTCACAAATCAGGTAAGCCTACTGGCAAAGGTTTACGCGTTGATAATGCGATCGAATTTTTCTTTACCCCATTTTTGAGAATATATTTTTTTCGTTCCCTTTTTTTTTTTTTTTTTTTTTTCCCGCTGTGCCATAAATGTTAGAAAAGTTCCGTTTCAAGTGCGCGGTTTGGCCTTTTATTTTTAAAATTTTTTTTTTTTTAAATATTTAAAATGGATATCTCACCAATTCGAATTAAAAATTTACAACGGTAACACCCATGGAGACGTTATTTTGAGGCATCCATGGGGGTGAAACACCGGTTCCGTTGAAGGGGAGGTTTTGAAGTTGAGAGCAGCGGAATGACAAGGTGAATCACGCCATTCCTCAGTGAGGCTACACCTACGCTGCTCCATTTTCCCACTCATCTGCAAATAGTTAATCATAACATTTTGCGCAAAAAAGAATTAATGACCGTTAGGACGAGGCAAACTTGTTGCAAAAAGGGGGAAGCAACAATGTGCCGTCCTACACCGTCGCATTTTCCATTCCGACTGTAAGGCAAATTACCAGTTGGCCAAGGCGAACATATAATGTCCTATATCTGTGTATACACATTTAGCTTGCTGCTTTATGTAGTTTCCGACTCTTTTAAAAATTATCCCCCGAGTGTTATAATCCCTCAAATTAATTTTGTTCACCATGTCTCGATACAAGTGTCACTTGCCGAGCAGGTTAAGTAAATATATAAATTGGTGCCCAATATGGCAAAATATTTACGGTCTTTTTTTTTTTTTTTTTTTTTGGCAAATCTTCCACCCTTTTCTGCTGCCCGTCCGGACATGCCTGGCGCACACTGTGCAAAACAGTCAACATATAATTGCACATGTAACAGCGGCGAAATTGCTTCCGCCAGAAGGGGGCCAAGTTCATTTCCCTGACAGTTGCTTCCCCAGGAGTGTAACATCGTTGGTTATTTCCTGAGATAAAGCAATTTCCTACGTTGCAAAAAAAAAAAAAAAAAAAAAAAAAACACTTGCAAATGTTATCTTCAAAATTGTAAAATATTGCCGAAAATGTTATCGCAGCATTTGCCGTGAACTGCGCACAAAGTGACCAAGTTGGCAAAAAAAAAAAAAAAAAAGTTGTCTTTAATCCCTCTTTAAAAAAAAAAAAAAATGAGGGCACATGTAAGCCCCTCCCTCCGACAGGAAATAGCCCTATGCAATAAGCAAAAGAGCAACAAGCGATGTATCCTCATTTCCCTCAACAGCAAATGTAATGAAACAATTTATGAGCGCAAAGACAGGGCATGGTGATGATGCTGTTGCGATTGCAAATGAGAATGAGTGAGGAGCCCAGTTGCCAGGGCGAATCGTACCACCTCATCGTTGCAACGGAAGGTGAAAAATGGGTATCGGCTCCATCCTACAAGGACCATACCTATCTCTGATCAGTTCCTCCCAAATGTGCGCGTCTCAATGTGCTCTCTCCCTTTGCCCATGCGCTGTCCTTCCCCCACCCCTCCTCTTGTCAGTTCAATTCACAATGGAAGGCTACACAGAACAGAGAGAAAACCCGAACGACGATTTAGAAAGTTTAAAATGCATATTAAATGACCAGCTTTCTTTCATACTCTACAATGTTGCATTGTTTACGACTCGATATAAATGGGTCCTTATTCTATGGGTCCCCGACGAATCCGTAGCAACAAAATTGTGGAAGCAAAATGTGTCTTCTGAGAATGTGGAAGGGAAAAAAAAGTACACCCAAGTGACACAGCTGAATAGGTTAATTTATTGCACTTTAAAAAATAACCTTCTTCATTATGTGGACCATGATAGGGAAGTGCCACTGGAGGAAGTACACAATTTCGAGCAGCTGGAAAAATGCATAACGGCTAGTCTGGGCCATTGCTTAACCTCAATTAGCACGACACGCATGTGTAAGGGAAGGGTAGTGCCCCATATCAGCGTTACGAATTACCTGTACAATTACTATTTTCTAAATGAGCAAATGAAGCAGTGTTGTGACGGTTTAAATGATGAAGATGATGGTTTGTCCAAGCATCTCGATGTGATTGCAAAGGAGAGCAACACATGCATCGTTTTACTCACCATAGATGTTAACAATTACAAACTGGAGAGCCATTTTGAGCAAGTAGAAACAATCGAATCGTTTCTTCACCTAACAAAAGAGATACATATTTGTTATGTCCTATATAAGACATCCGACACCTACACCTTGTTCTACCTCTGTCATAGTGACCAGTGCACCACGAGAGAAAAATTTGTGTACTCTTTATTCAAACCGCACTTCATACAAATATTGAAAAAAAAAAATATTAATATTTTTTTAAGTGTCGAAATGGGCAAGCTTAAACATCTGGTAGACTTTGTCCGAGGGGACATAACTACGAAGAAGGAAGTTCTCACAAATAATGGACCACTTGACATGGCGCCAAAAAGGAAGAACAGCACACACCATTTGACCTTGGTTGGAAAAAAAAACTACTCTAGCAATGCACAAATCAGTGGGGCGAAGGAGTTACTTCCCATTGTGGAAAATGATTCTATTAGCAGAAATGGGAGGACGAATGATCAATCTGGGCAGGGGCCAAGCGTGGACAGGAAGCACGCGTTTACATCTAGAGCCATTAATTTGTTATCGCTGAAGAGGAAGGATAGCAACGCCAACAACACACAGACAGAGCAACCCACTTGGGGTAAAACAAATAAAATGGCACATGCACCACTAGGGCAAAGAAAACAAACCAGTACCTCAACATCTACCAGCGACAATATCGGACCAAACTTACTCAAAAAATGGTCCCTATCGAAATCGTATAATTTGAAAAAAAAAAACTCCTTCACAAATGACGGGGAAAAAAATTTCACAATAAAAAAAAAAAGGGAACCCTCCTCTACACTGGCCCACAGCAAATCGCTAACTCTCCGCAAGGGATCGTCCACCTCCGTCGAGTTAAAAAAATCGTCCTCCTTGTCTAAGCAAAAATCCCTCCAACTTGATAAGAAAAAGAGCTTAACCAGAAGGCTCAAAGGGAGAAGCGCTGCTTCAGAGAAGTGATACGTCTTAAGGGGTTGCCATGGTTGTTTACATGGGGTGCTACGGAGAAGCCACATTGTCGACGCAATCTCTGCACGAAGTATTTCTACGTTTGGGTGTGTGTTTGCACGCTTGTGGGGGAGAAGCAAGAAGAATGAAGGGACGTGGAATTATGCACAACCCAATCGGTTAGAACCGTTTGCCCAGTTTATCCCACCTACATGTGAGCATATATGCAGGTGTACAGCGCGCGTCCTTAACGATTGCACATCGTTGATTTATTTTCTACAAAGGGTTATATATCTGCATAGAGGGGCACATTTTTCGTGCATGTGGTGCCTGTGTTCATGCTACTAAGCATTCGTTGCCCTCTGATAAATTTCTTCTTTTTCGCAGCTGGCGTTGTAGTTAAGTGGCTTCGGGGGCAGCCCCACAGTGACCTATTAAAAAGGCCTATTAAGGGATGGCCTAAAAGACCTTAATTCATTTTGTTGCAAATCGCTTGAATCTTCTGGTTCAAACGGAGTAGCATCCCTCTAGTGGGACACGGTACATCATTTCTGTACCTATTTGGAGGTAGATACGCGGCATCGCTCTTCCCCTTTCCCCCCCCCCCCCCTCCTTTTTGCCTTTGAGCCCACACACACATTCCCCCAAGAACATGAATCGTGTGGGCAAAGTGGGCCCCAGTTTTTACGAAACGTATGCATCCTACTTCATGCAGGCATGACTGTTGGGCCCATCCACAAAAGGGGATACACTAATATGTCTACGCACACGTCTCTATGATGGTGAATTATTCTAATATATAATAAGAAAAAAATAGGGCGAGAAAAAAACTTTCAGCGAAAAATGATCCGACCGAACAGACCATTTAAAATGTTAAAGTGGTACAAGGTTGCAAAAGCTAGGGTTCAGATCTTTCTTATGTGACCCTGTTTCAAGTGGATTAGCTGACCTCACGTGTGCATAACGTTCGTATTCATAGGTGTGTCACTTATGTGGACATGCGTATGCATAAAATGCCTCCACACAGGTGTTAACAGAGATTTAATTGGCGGTGAGAAAAAAAGAAAAAAAAAAGGATGAATTTAAAAAGGGGAGAAATATGTAGCTAATTATCCTTTTATATAAAATTACTTTTTCCATGTGACATTTTTCATGCCCCCATCTATATCATATTCTTATCAGACAATGCGCTGAAGAGAAAGGAGGCGTCATTTTTCTCTTGTAGGCGACGTTCCGCGGCGAACCATTTTTAAAAGGCGCATTTGTGTTAACCAAAATAATACACTCATGGAGGTAGGCAAAAAAAGAAACAATAATAAAAATAAAGTGATACACATACGCGTACGTTAACTACATACATGTAGCACATATGTAATACATATCAACACAAGTGGGAGAAACAGTGTGAAGGGAAAAACTTTAAGGAAAGGGGAACCCGACGACGAAGAACCATTCCTACATGCGCTCAGCAAACATTGCATTATATATGCGTTATATGCCGAACTACAAAATATAATTTATAAGCACTTTTTCATGTTGGAAACCCCGTTCTTTTTTTTTTTTTTTTTTTTTTGCTGCCTTTGTAAAAATCATGTTGCTTTTAACATTTTGCCGAATTTGCGCCCCTCCGACATATAGGCCAATTTTTTTTTTTTTTTTTTTTTTTCTTAATCCAATTGCTAACAAACAACTGACAAAAAAGGAAAAAAAAAAAAATAAAATAAAATAAGTCATTGGATGGTAAAGCCACCGCTGCGAGCGCTCCTATATATAATAAAAGAGAATAAAAAAGGCAAAAAAGAAATTACGTACATAAAGTTTTCATTCCTGCAACTGTATGTACATAAAATCTACGCCCTGCTGGCGTTACGTACTGCTCTCCTGACACCAACAATACGCCGCTGAACCAGCTGGTTTAGTCACCACTTCTCAGGGGCGTACCACCGTATCGCTTGATCGTTTGCGTTGCCTGCAGCACGACTGCCGCTGCTCTCATCCCCCCCCAGTTTAACGAACGAGTGTAGAAAATGAGCCCCAAGGAATCTCCCCAAGTGGCCGAGTTGAACGAAGATATTGTGGAACTGAACAAGTTACTGACCCAGGCAGTGCGAGAAAATGTGAAAGAAAAAATAAAAAGATGTATAGAAAACACAACCATAGAAATAGCCAAGCTGAAATTGGAAGAAAGTCAAACCCCAAACAAAATAACAGACAAAAATACACCCCTAAATGATAACAATATTTCATACAGCTCTGTTCAGTCCTTCGCATGGAACCAAGAAGGAAATAAAGTAACTGTTTTTTTAACCGTTAAAGATATACAGAATATTGACAAGGACAAAATTTGCGCAGAGTTTAATGAAAGAAGTTTTGAAATTAAAATGCATGACGTGAACAAAAAAAATTATCGTTTCTGTGTTAAAAAATTACATGAAAAAATCGTACCAAGTAAATGCTGTTTTAAAGTTAAGAAAGACGCCCTGCATGTGTACTTAATAAAACAGGACCAAAAATATTGGGACAATTTGCATTTCAAGGAGTCCCCCATGTCTAAAATTCGTGCGCCCAAAATGGACGAGCAGGCCGAACCCTCCACCATGCTCATGAATATGATGAAGCAGCTGTACCAGGAGGGAGACAGTGACATGAAGAGGACCATCGCAAAGGCTTGGTGCGAGGCGAATGAGAAAAAGTCGGACTTTTCCGTCCCCAATTTTTAAGTCGGACAGGGAGAGAAAAGAGCAGCGGCGTTCTGAAGATATAAACGTTGCGGACGAGAAACCATAAAAAGTTTGTTAATAATTGTACGAAAATCTCCCCGTTGCTGCCCATCGTTTACCTTTTTAATTGTCACCCCCCCCCCGATAAGCAATCATTGTCCATTTTTTTTTTTTTATCCCCTGTTTATGTTTTTTTTTTTTAAATCTTCTTTTGTGTTTTTTCAATCCCTCACGCCTGTGCGGATTTTCCCAAATCCCAGTGTTTGCTTTTGCTCCCAGTTTTTTTTAACACAAAGCAGGCGCAAAATGCACAGGCGAACGAACGCGAAAGCGAAAGTAAAATCGAAAATGCATATCATTATGTGTCCACCATGTAACCATAAAAGTAGGAAAATAAAATTGTAACTTTCTTTCCGCATAATTATGTGCATGTGGCACCGTCATGTAGGACAAAAGAAACGGAGTAAAGTTGATCACACGACGCCCACTTCGGGATGGAAGCAATATTTTTTTTTTTTTTTTTGAAACGTTGGTGAATAAACCGATTGAACACTCGGCGAGGGAGTAGCCAAAAATTGGAAGCTCCTAATTCCGTTCTGCATTTTCACACTAGGAGTGTGCAACACACATTCACGCGCAGACGTGCACGCAAACGTGAGCACAAATAGGAGGAAAAAACGCCAACGCTATTAAACACACATGGGCATACTGAACGGATACGAATGAGACTGCTTTTTACCCATGTACATTTTCAACAACGTGGATGTCTAGCTGCGTTTTTAAAAAAAAAAAAAAACAAAGAAAATTTCGTACCCCATGGACACAAAAAAAAAAAATTAAAGTATCTTGTTTTGAGCGCACATGACGGTGAGTCCCATTGAAAACGGAGGGTACGAAATTTGTATTTTTTTTTTTTCAGCGCAGCGAGGGGACAAAAAACAGAAAAAAAAAAAAAAAAAGGAAAAAAAGAAAAAATCGCCAACCTCATAAGCCACATCATGACGCTGCCTCATTCACACAGCTTCGCTAAACAGTGCGAATAAATATCCTGCACATTTTTTTTTTTTTTTTCCCTTCTGGCCTTCATGGTGTAGATAATCTTCACATGTTAATTGAAGCCATCCGTTGTCTCCATAGAGCAAGTGCTGCGGACGTTGTTCTTCTGATCCGGGAAACTCCCGATTTGGTTATTTTTGTCCAACAGAGGTATGGGGATTCCATTAAAATAACCCAGGGTTACATACAAAAAGGAAATGATAATGATAGTAATACCTATGAGTAAGCTGAAAAAGCCCTTGTTGATCAAGATGGAGGCTATTATGAGCATGTACAGGCTTCTTCCAACTACGGTGAATAAGAACTCGATGTGCCGATAAAAATTGAATGTCTTCACATCACATAGAATTAAGAGGACACCTGAGCATATGATATACAAATTGATCACAATTTGGAACAGGTTTAAAACGTTCAGTATGCCGCCGGTAATCATGAGCGCGCCTGCGACAGGAGGGGGGGAAGAGGGGCAGTGAAGGGGGGGAGGAGGAGCTGTGAAATGGGGAAGCGGCAAAGGGCACAAAGGACGAAGCCATGAAACTCTTCTCACCTGCAGTCATCGATAAGGACCGCAAGCTGAAGTTTGGTATATCCTTAAATATCAGTGCCATGATTGGAAAAAAAAAAAAAAAACACCTCCAATGAGTTAATTTGTTTTAAAATTAAAACTTATTTAAAAGGGTTGATTTTTTGTTTTGTCTTTTCTCGTCCTTTCCGTGGTGTTCTTCCTATTGAGGTGTTACAAAAACAATGGGTGAAAAAGTTGGGACAAAATTCGCATCACAACGTTTGTAATACATATGCATATGCGCACATGTACGACGTACGCAGTGGGGGAAGAACTACTTGACTGGGTGTGTTCGTCCTGCAAAAGCGTCTTTTTTTTGTGCGTTTTGTTTAATGTGGGAATTTGCGTCAACTTCAGTTTATTAATGTTTTTAATTCGCGCGTCGCTCTCTTGTTGAGTGCGTCCGCATTGTAGGTGCTACAGGTGTGTACAAGTGTACATGCGTGTTTGTATTTGTTTGTATTCGTTTGCTTTCGTTTGTGTGCGCATCTGCACGAAGGATGTACGCGCAAATCAAACTTTGCTGCTGAAGAAAATCAGCAGGCATTCCTCTCGAAACCTCGTCGCGTTTTGCAAATTTTTGTACGTTGTATTGTGTACACAAATGATTACAAAAAAAAAAAAAAAAAAAAGGGATTATGTTTGAATGGAAGGATAAATGTGAAGAGGAATAGCTCTTTTTTTTCTTCTTTTTTTTTACGTATATAAATGCGTAAATTTTTCATACATGTTTGTAATAAAAACAAAAAAAAAAAAAAGAAAATGAAAAAAATGAATTGCACATATTGGGGAAATGAATTGCCAGTTTTTAATTCACCTTTGTCTTATTTTTTCTTTCGAATCGCAAATTGGGAAGCAATTATTTTTTTTGGGGGGAAAAATGCCCATTTTTAAGGGAAACAAAAATGCGAAGCAGTCAGCGTGATGTGCCTATCCCCCCCTTTGGGTCGGAATTCATTTCACATGACGGGCTTAAAATTTATTTTATTTTAGTTTATTTTTTTTGTTAACTGTAGATGGCAAATGAGGATATAATTTTGTGCGTCCTCCCCTTCACCCGTGAGAGAACAAGAGCAAAACAAAAAAAAAAATTTGTCCTGCGTTTTTTCGTGTAAATAAAATTGGACACTTCACAATTTTAAATGATTGTTGAAAATTTAAAGAGGGTGATAAAATTGTTACAAACAGAGCAAGAACAAGTTTGCATGTTTTAATTATTAACAACTTTGTATCTTCAAAAAAATAAAAAAAAAAGTTCAATACAGCGGGGCATTTAAATAGCCTTGTCACTACTTAACATGCACATATAAAACAGGCATGTCTGGCTGAACCATTTGTGGGGACATGCAACATGTTGTGATGTTTAAAAAAAAAAAAAAAACAGGTAACATTTGACCCACACCCCGAAAATGGACAAGGCGTTTGCTGCCTCAAGCGTGTACACACATGAAGGCATACGCATAGAGAAACGTATTACGTGGGGCAATCGGTAGATACATCCCCTTCTCGCCTGCGTACCCCTCCCAACTTGAAGCTTTTATTCTTTCTTCGAATCCTTTTCCGAGTTCTTTTTTTTCTTCCAGGGTTTCCCTAATATGAATTTCTTGCCCAGCGAGAGTTCCCCTTTTTTGGCTTTCTTGGCTGGTGGCTCCTCTTGGGGCACTTCCTCCGCTGCTACGTCCTCCATTGAGTAGTGCTCGGCTAGCGGCTCCTCTTTCGAGTATTCCTCCGCTGCTACGTCCTCCATTGAGTAGTGCTCGGCTAGAGGCTCCTCTTTCGAGTATTCCTCCGCTGCTACGT